TTTTTTTTTTTTTTTGTTGTTGTTGTTGTTGTTGTTGTTGTTGTTGAGATGATGGTGCTGAGTCTTCTGACTGGTATAAGTCGGGTGCCATACAGAGGAGGGTACGTGGTGGAGATATGAAGGAGGAGGTAACCATAAAGGGTTGGCAAGGAGGAAGGCGAAGCTTACTTGTTGGCTGGTGGCCATAGCTACCTGAAGAAGAAGACCCTAAAAGGAGGAGAGAGAACGACATTCATCTTTCAAGACTTCACTTTGTTGGCGCTAGAGAGACATTGGCTCTGAGAGTGATACTGTGTCTGGTTTGAAAGTGAAGTAGTGGGGAGAAGCCATACCCAATAGATAAAGGATACGTTGAGATGGAGAGAGAAAAGTGCCCCGAGACAAAGAGGAAGTCCACGCTCTTGCTCTTCTTCTTCACACAGTCTCGTTGTCCATTGATCTCTCTCTTTTTTTTTTTTTTAATTCATCCTTGCTCAGGGCCATGCTGATCTTCTCTGTATCATTCCATTTTAATGGATGTGCTGAACGCTCAGCAAAGGATTGTCCGTTGCTGTCTCAATTTCATTGTTATCAATGAAATTGAGCCCCCGACGTTGAGTTCATTAGCCCAGTAGATAAAAAAAATGCAGGGAAATAAGAAACACAAATGAAGCAAAAATAAACGACGTGGATCAAGTGAGGACACGATACCTGCGCCAAATCCCCAGCCGCATAATCTCGAAACAAGATATGCCCACCATGCTGCGCAAGTTTACCAAAAACAAGCCAACCACAAAAAAAAGGAGAGAAATGCTTGACTTAATAGTTTTGAAGTTTGAACTGATTCAGTGTTTGTGCATGACTGCACAAACGTACAGATGCGTGTTACATGAGCATGCATGCATGTGTCCATATGTGCATGAGAGTGAATGCATGTGTCCATTCGTGCATGCGCGTGTGTCCATGCATGCATGCGACCATACGTACATCTGTGTGCATGCATCAGTGCCTGCAATCGGGTGGCCGTGGCTGCAACCCGCCCGGCCCAGCTGCAGCCGACAGGTGCGGTCCAGGGGCAGTTTTGGAACATGCAGGCCCAACTGGGTTTCAGCCAGGTAGTGGCATGGCCCGGCTGCGGGCCACAGCTGGCCGCAAAATTAGTCGGGTCAGCCGAACAGGCCTGTATATATAGAGATAGATAGATAGGTATACATATATATATTGATACGTAGATAGATTTACATATCCCTCTCTGCCTACGGTTTACCGGGCAGTTCTATTTGACGATATATATACGCACGAGTTTAGGGCTGGAGTACGTAGGTCCAACTTGCCTCCCGACCGTTAGCCCTGTGTCGCAGCCCACCCAAGGCTGAATGATAAACATGAAATGCTGTATGAAAAACATGCATGAGGGGAGGGAAGGAAAGCAGAAGGGCCCCATAGGGTAAGAACGGGTACAACAAGAGGGAGATATTCATAGTAATAAAGACCTCTTATTAGAAGATGCAACCAGGAAGAGGACAGGAGACAAGCGG